GTGTCCCTGCTGCTGGCAGGGGGGTTGGGACTGGATGAGCTTTAAGGTCCCTTCCAACCCAAACCATTCTATGATTCTATGACCTGCTGTCCCCTTCCAAACCGTCCCTTTGGCACAGGGGTTGCCCGAGGTTTTTGCACCAAAACCCTGGGCCTTGTTGTTGGTTTGTGGCGCTGGTAGAGAAGCAGCGATGGAGAGGAAAGCAGGGATGTCTCTCAGCTCTACCGTGTCCCTCTGAGACCTGTTGCCAGCTGTCCCCGTCCTCGTGTGCACCAGTTTACAGCTCTCCTCTTGTTCTTTGCAGGCTGACGCCGGTGAGATGGAGTCGCTACAACCCCAGTTACATAGAGCCAGAGGTGAACAAGGAATTGTATCAGAAACCTTGGGAGGAGCTGTCTGAGGAGGAAAAGGAAAAAATGGAGCTTAAGGCCGTTCAACCCATAAAAGCTGCTCCTCCCTCTCTCTCCAGCTCTGTGTTCAGCGACCCGATGATCAGGTCAGAGAAAAACATCATCTCCTCTGTCACAGTTGGATCCCACGGAGCCAAAATGCCTCAGAGCTGTGCTGTGCTGTCCTCCTCCACCATCACTTGCAGTGCTGCTCGTTGCCTTCTCTTACAGCACAGTCCCCTTATTCCTGGTCAATCTGTTCCCACCCAGCCAGCCCTTTGATTGACAGTGATTAGAGATAATTACAGCAGATGGAGCAGCAGCCAGACTTAACCATGGGAACAGCACAAGGGGGGGAGCTTATTTCTGTGGGTGATAAAAATCAGAATTTAAATCAGATTGCATTTGGCTTTGTGTTTACAGTAAATTCACCAATATGATGATGAAGAATGGAAATAAAGTGCTGGCCAGAAGCCTCATGGCTCAGGTGAGAACTTGGGTTTCTTCTCATTATTGTGTTAAAACAATATAAAAAATGGAAGGCTGGGACATCAAACCCACTGGAATTGGGAATTACCAGAACCCAGGTCATCTCTGCAGTCCTGACACATTTCCCTCTGCACACACAATACTCTCACCATTATGTACCTGGTCAGATGTGCATTTTGTACAAGCCCCAACGTCACTCAGCTCACAGAGCAGATGGTGAGAGTGTAATGGAGAATGTTCTCTTCCCACTCTTCAGTGTCTCTTGGACCTTATGTAGAATCATAGAATCATTTAGATTGGAAAAGACCCTTAAGATCATTGAGTCCAACTATTAACCTAATGCTGCCAAGCCCACCACTAAACCACAAACTCAGGGTATAACCTTAAAAGCCTAATTTTCTCAAAAGATCTTCCTTCAGCTCTTTTTCCTGCCTTACCTTCTGCACGTGAGGTCCCACAAATGTGTCACCTGTATGACACAGCTTTGACCTCTGCTCTGACCTACAGTAACTGGTATTACCTGGTGGTCCCATCTAGTGTGTTCCAGCCCTTGAAGCGGGGACACGCGTTGCCCAAATGTTCCCCAAGTAACTGCTGATTCCTTGTGACAGAAAAACAGGCTTTTTTGGGGCTCTTGAGTCCAGGTTTAGAGGGGAGGATGCTTAGTGCACACAGACCTGTATTCCTGTCTCTGCTTTGTCCCTGTCCTCCCCTGGCTCCTGGCCCAGGTCCGTGCTGCTTGGCCTCCTTGCCCCAAATGCAATGTTCAGTAAAGAAACTGAAGAGCTGGAGGAGTGTGAAGTAAAACTTAAAAATCCTCAACTGGCCTGTAGCCTACAGGGCTAGAAAAGCAGCTGCAGGCTTAAGTGAAAATGGGGTGCTTGTAAAAGTGGTGGAACTTCATGGAGTGGGATAATCCATCTGCTCTGCATGTCTCCCTTCTTCTCTTTGTCCCAAGACTCTAGAGGCCATTAAGAGGAAGCAGCTGGAGAAGTACCACAAAGCTCCAGAAGATGAGAAGGAGACCATTGAGTGCAACCCTTATGTCATTTTCCACCAGGCTCTGAAGAACTGCCAGCCCATCATTGGGGTCACCAGCATCACAAAAGGAGGCAAAACCTACCAGGTGAAAGTGCCTGGGAGCACATCTGCTTGGGAGGGAATTAGCTAGGGAAGCAGATGAACTGGTTTCCACCCCTTCAGCTCCAGCTTTCCTCTCTTTGGAAGGAGAGCCATGTTGCAATCTGGATTAAAACAGCACCTGAGAAACTGCCCAAGATCAGGCCCCCAGCCCCCAGCAGCGCTCTGCTTCTCTGACTAGACAAGAAGCAGACAGCAAATGCTGTCCAAAGAGACAGAGATCAGGGACAGGCAGCAAAAGAATTGGCAGTCCTGGGACTACCAGTCCCATCCTCTCTGCTGCACGGTGTTGCTTGGGTAGAGGCCCCAAAGCCCCAGGGAGGGTCAGTGGAAAAGTCAACTAGATACAGTGGAAAATTTGAAACACAAGCAGAACCTCTCTCAGTGTGGGCTCTGCGACACCTGATGGAGAAATGAGATGTGGAGGCACGTCTCTCAGTGCAGGGGAGTGGCGGCCATCTCCCACTTCTGCTGGCACAAACCAGCCTGGATCCAGTTCCCAAACAGGCCAGAGGTCCTTCCAAAGGCCAGTGTCTGCTGGCAGTACCCCAGGCTGAGCACCATTCCCAGTTTGGTAGCAGTGGCCAGTTTCTATGGACACACAAGGTGAATTGGCACAGATTAACTCCTGGGAGCTGGTCTCACTGCTGCCACTGGAGCCACGGCGTGGTGTAAACCTGCACGTGTCCAGCTGTACCTGTGTGATGAGCAGCTTGTTGCACCTTGGCAGTACGATAACTGTTAATGGTTTAAACCTCTCCCAGGTCCCAGTCCCTCTGAAGGACAATCGGAAGCGCTTCCTGGCCATGAAGTGGTTAATCACCGAGTGCAGGGAGAACAAGAACCGTCGGACAATGATGCCCGAGAAGCTCTCCCAGGAGCTGCTCCAGGCCTTCAACAACGAAGGGCCCATCATCAAGAAGAAGCACGTGCTGCACAAGGTGGCAGAGGCCAACCGGGCTTACGCCCACTTCCGCTGGTGGTAGGGACACTGGGCATGGGACGTGATGCCACCACCCCCACAGCGTGGTGAGCACAGCCCCAGGGCCACCTGCCTGGGAGAAGCTGGGGAGAAGAAAGGTGGAAGATCCCTTCCAGACAGCTCATCTCATCCCCACAAAGTTATTTCCTCTGTACTTGTTTGGATGGGGGAATGGGGAACGTGAAAGAGTTACCAACCCCTGCACGGCTGCCCCAGTTAATTCATAATCACTTTCCTGTGAAGAGAAGCTTTGGATGTTTTTCTTAGAGCAACACTGTACAAAATAATCTTCCACTTACCTGTTTCCTGGGGAGTCTCCAGTCTCTGCTCCTGTAATCAGCAATGTTTTTGGCTGCACAGCTGAGAGCAGAGATGGATTTTTTTTCCCCCCACATCATAACCAGCCTTGGGGTGATTGGTACAAAAGGCAATAAAAGGCCCTTTTTGATTTTTTTGGTTCTGGTCATCAGCAACATTGTCTGCAATGTTTTGATGGAAATGTTAACAGAAAAAAAAAATAAAACCAGTTTTATGGGGAAGGTTTCTCAATTCCAAAACGTTTGTCTCTGTTGTTTGAATCTCACACTGCTCTTCTCAACTACCCTGGCTGTCTAAAGCCACACTGACATCCTACATCAGAGGAAAAAAATCATTATCACAGCCTTAAGGCTTCAGTCAGAAACAACTTTTAAGTGTTGCTCATAGCTCAGCAGCTGCAGAGAGAGAAAGCAGGGCACATGTTAGTGGAAAACTTTTATTAGAAAAAAATCCTTCAATAGACTATTTTGTTTCCTTTCTTCCTCTCCCACTCTTCGAAGAAACAGACCATAATTGAAACTCACTAAATTCTGAAAAAACATGACAGTTATTGTAAAAAACTTATAAAACCTCTTCCTAGCTACATGTGCTCAGGGACCTGTCCTGCTGCAGGCTGCCCCGGGGCAGGTGTTGGTGGCTCACGACCCGTGGGGGAGGCTGTGCTGCTGTGTGCAGGTGCAGCCAGCGTGCTGGGAGGAATCTGGGAAAAACAGCACTTGGCTGAGCTGTTTGTGAGGCCACAGCGTTTGCTGTGACGTGTCCCAGAGAACCAGGTACCACCTGAGCTGTGAAAGATTTTCCCCTCTGCCTCCTGGGCTCTTGGGTGAAACCCAAATGCTCTCAGCCTAAACTGTGCTTATCCTTGACACTCGTATCAAATGCTGGTTTGAGCTAGAAGCCTTCCTTGCCCTTTGCTGGCAGCAGCCCCATGTTAGACAAAACCAGTGGGAGAACTTGCTGAGTTAAACGTGCCCTTCCCACCTCTCCAAACCTCCACAGTCAGGTTAGCACCAGTTGCAACCTGCCAGTTACGTGCCCAGAGGCTCTAGCCAGTAAGAAATCCTATTTACAGGAAGTGCTAGAAACACATTAACATGAAAAGAAATTCAAACTTGGTGTGAAGCCTGCTGGTGAAAGTGCTGGGGACATCCATCCCTCCCCCTCTGCTGTAGAGAGCTTAATCCATGACTTCGCTGTAATAGTATTTCTGGGCAGCGTCCGTCATCTTCCAGTCAGCGGCCCGAAACTCGATGATCTCCAGCAGCAGGAGCTGGGACAAGGAGCTGAGCCCCTCCTGCAGAAGGAAACCATCTCGGAGGAGGGAGAAGAGCTCATCCATTCGCTGGGAGTTCATCTTCTCCAGCTGCTCACCAATGCGATGGAGCTGTAGGACCAGGCAGTCCACCTTCAGATGGAAGAGAAGATGATGGCTGAATACAAAAGAATGAGGATGTTGGGCACATCTTAGTGGAGGTCCTCACCAGTCACTTACAGACTCACAATCAGAATGGTTTGGGTGGGAAGGGACCTTTCAAGCTCATCTAGTCCAACCCCCCTGCAGTGAGCAGGGACACCTTCAACCAGAGCAGGTTGCTCAGAGCCCCGTCCAGCCTGACCTGGAATGTTTCCAGGGATGGGGCTTCTACCACCTCTCTGGGCAACCTGGGCCAGTGTCTCACCACCCTAAGTGTAACAAATTTCTTCTTTATATCTACTCTGACGCTACCCTCACTTAGTTTAAAACCCTGGACCAACTCAAGGCAGGAGTTTGCAGCCATTTTCAATATCCATTCCCTTCCTGCTCTTCAAAGGAGAAGGGAGCAGAATTTAGTTGTGCTGCCAAATGCTGTATTGGTGGGATTTACACAGGAGACCAGATATTTGAGTCTCCAGTAGGTGACAGTTCTGCTTCCCCCAAGTGGCTGTGGTCCAGGAGAAGCTGAACGTGTGACCTACAGCCACTGCAGCTGTCTGCCATCACCTCCCACGCTGCAGTGCCTCTGTGGGTCGGTGTGACACCTGCTTTTCCAGATGTCCAGCAACTTGAGCTGCTGGAAAAGCAGCTGGTTTCTGTGAAAACGGGAGAGAGTCATCATCTGCATTTTTCTCACATGATGGGACGTCAACCCAGTGAGTCTCCTTCCAGCACACACCAGGGAGGCAGCTCTCCCTCCTCTGCACCAGGATGCAGAAACCACATCTCCCCACCCCCCAGGTGGTGCTTCTTGCTGGTCCTTGGCAGGACAACAGCCTTCTTCTTCTTCCCTGCACTCACCTCTTCCTCCTTCCGCAGGCTGTCGGGCTGTGCCAGACGGAACAGACAGTCGTAAACGGGGTTCACCAGAGCCATCATGGGCATGTTGTTCACCTAGAAGGAGGCAGGAGCCATCATCAGCTTGGGGTAGAAAGGGAGGAGCTTGCAGCTATTCCAAGTAGTTGTTCCCTTGCTGCTCTTCAAAGGAGAAGGGAGCAGAATTTAATTGTGCTGCCAAGTGCTGTATTGGTGGGATTTACATAGAAGATTAGATGTTTGAGTCTCCAGGAGCTGGAGGAGCTGAACAAATGATGGAAAAAACCCATCTGTTTTTAAATGTAAGCAGGCAGTCATGGGAAATACACTCGTTGCAACAGCATTTTTCCTGCCTGCAGCTCTCCTTGTGTAATTTTTACACCTACTCCAAGCAAGCATCCACACACAAACACTGCAGCGAAGGCTTGCAGACAAACTCTGTCAGTACGTGGGCTAGAAATGATGTGAGCACCCACAGGTCCCCTCTGGGACCTCACAGCAACTGAACTAGTTCAATCTGGGACATTTGGGAGCAGGCAAATCAGGGGATTTCAAACATCAAGTACAAAATGAGGAAGCTCAGACTTTGTGACTCTTCCCACAGACAGCTCTGCCTCTCCAAGCCTGGTCACCTGCCCGTAGGTAACACCAGCCCCAACAGCATCCTCGTGCTGAGAACCAGCTCTGGCCCCTGCAGCCACAAGCCACAGCCCCAGGGCTCTGTACAACACCCACCCAGCACCCCTACCCTGGTGCTTTTGGGCACCCAGGACCTTCTGGCACCTCTAGG